ACTTATAATAGCTTATTTATTTTATCATATTATTTTTTTTAAATTTTGTGTTGAATAAAATTTATCAGGTCTACTTAACCAATAATTTAAAATAATATTATATATATAGTATGTTTAAATTATTTAACAAGAAAGTTAATATCAATATGTCATTAATTAATTAATAAATTTTTCATTATATTAACTTTTATTGCAAAACAATACAAAAACTAATATAAAATTATAAATAAAAAACCATTAAAATATAAATTATAAATACAATGTGTATATCTATTTGGTTAAATTTATATTGTGTTAATTTAAAGTTTTATTTTGTCATCTTAATTTACCAAAAATAGAATTAAAATCAGTTATATATTTGGAATTAAAATATAAATCTTAAGTGGTGTTAACAATTTGATGGGCATTGCTTTGGATGATATATCCTAACTTCTAACATAACCCTTATCAGATAGTACATCATAAGTAGTAAAAAGTCATATTTTTATAAAAATCTATATTTAAACAAGTGTAAAATAGGTTGTTCATTTATTATTATTTCTGTATATATGTTAGAGAATCAGATATTTTGAAATATCACATAAAAATAATAGCATCATTACCATGAGAAGGAAATTCAATTTTCTATAGATTGCATTACATTTCTCAGAATTCTAATGTTTAAAGCGCGGTAATAGAATACTTTAAAATAATCGATTAAATTTTCTTAATATTACGCCATCTGATGGATGTTAATTATTTAAATTTTTAAAATGTAAAATTACCTTTCACAATAAATAAATAACCCGTTATGTTTAATTATTTTTATAAAATATTTCTTACATTTTATAAGCAGCTATCCTTGGGTATGTATTAAATTTTTACTATTATATCAGAAAATGGTCACATAAAATTGAAAATTGATATTAATATAATTAAAAGGTATGTGATAAAAATGGTAAAGATAATTAAAAATTTAATATTTTGTATTCTAAGATGTTGTATGTTATTAGCGATAGTCGCTAAACATCTATAAATTTTTTATATTATTTTTAAAAAATTATTAAAACTATATAAATCTATATTAAATCAGTGCTATTTTAATTATTAGAGTAACGCATTTAAAATTATATTTTCACTATGTTAACAATTGAAAAAAAAATTTCAGTGTCGAAAATGGAATATCAAGATTATTCATAATGTCAGAAATATTAATCAAGTTCTAAAAGTTGAAGCTTAATTAATTTAATATTATTATTATTTAAGTTATTTTTACAATCTTTTTTAATTTATTATAATTCATTATTTTGATATTTATTCTTCAATATAAAACAAGATTTAAACTAATACATTCAAACATATAGTTTTCTCATCTTTAGCATTTTGAACTTTTCCTAATACATTGCATATATTACTGTCAGGACAATCTGATAATCGTTGTACTTCTAATTATGGCTTTACAAGTTTCATTAAAAGATATATGAAATTACTACTTGTTTTTAAGCATTAATCGATATAATAGTTATATAATCATATATATAATATTTTTACAAAAATTAAGAGGTTAAGATATAAAACTAAAAGTAGAACTAAAATAAAAATATAATTTTAATAAGTTATTAATGAAATGAATGCGCGTTACATTATAAACATTATTTAATAACCAAAATATATAATATATTAATTTCTATAATATAACATTCTTCCTCTTCTAAAAAAGCCTTCCCATAAGTTAATCTAAGCAATTCTAAAGAGCAAGTTGTCGCATAAGTCATCTTATTCGTTGGCTTGTCCAAATCGTCTATTGTGTTTGTACGTTGGTTTGTTTAAATCGATTTTGGACTTTGGTGTGTTTAAATTGTAAGCTTGTTATTCTTATCATGTTGTCCTTATAAATCGTGAATTTGTCATGTAGCTTGCTTGTAGTACAGTCGTTATTATTATTAATTTTCAAAATTGTTATTATCATCCGTAATTTATGAATAATTAAAAATAATAATTCATCAAGTTGGATATAAGAATAAATGATGTTTAATATTTTTAGCGTTTTAGTGTTTAATTTAATTTATTTTTCGCGTTTTAGTGTTTAATCAATTTTTTGCGTTTTAGTATTTAATTTATTTTTATTTATATAATAATATTTTCAATCCAAGAGATTTGCAAATAAAATATTATTCACATTTCCCTCTCTTTAAAAAAAAATTTTTAATTTCACACCCTAGTTTTAATTCAATAAGTGTTTTTTTTAAATAATGATAAGATAATTTTTAGAAAATGATATCCTCATCATATCTCATAAATATTTTTCTAAAATGAAGATGTTTTTTACATAACTTCTCTTTGTCTCCAAAGCTTTAAATTTCAAAAACTTTTTATAACATTAAGTATTACTTTAAGAGTTATTCTATTTTTTAATTTTCTAATATCTGTATTAATAACAAATATTTCTTTTTATTTAATCATATTATTTTTATCTTTTAATTCATATGTTTCAATTACATTTTGATATAGACTTAAAATTATAGTTTATTTTCTTGTTTAGGATATTTAATTTTGTAATATTTTTTAATTATACTTAAAATTCTTAAGTATTTTCCACAATTGGTCATAATTAAAGAAATAATATGAAAAATATCAATAGGCATTTACTAAGAAATTCAACTGTTAATTTATTATTAAATAAATATTTTTTAAGGCTTTTTATGTATTCAAATATGTCCATTATGATTGATTTACATTTAAGTTATTTGTTAATTTATATCATAATCTCAGCATATAATTTTAATTTATAATAATTTTTCTTCTTACGTGGATTTAAAATTATTAGTAAAGTAAATCATCATTTGTTTATACCTAATCTAATGTGATGACCAATGCCTATTCTAATGAGATGACCAATACCCAACCTAATGAGATAACCAATACCTAACCTAATGAGATAACCTGCCTAACCTAATGAGATGACCAAGATCGAAGTAGGATGATAGGCTATGAATTCTATATAGTGTAACAATGATGATTTACAAATAATTCTAAAATCCACACAAGAAGAAAAGTTATTTAAAAAAAATTATATGCCAAATTGGTGACATTTTTATAATTTTATGTTTTAGTTTAATCGCGTTAACATTTAATTTTAAGATTTATAAAAGTTAATTATTGTAAAGTCATTATGATGCGATAATTTACAATTTCTTAAAAATGTATTTTTTTTCTTATAATTTAAATTGAGGCATGAGTAGGTGCTTTATAATTGTAAAAGAAGATATTTATTTAAAGATTGTTAATTTTATCATTGAAAAAATTGATTTATATTTCTCTTTAAAAAAATTATAATTTTTTTTAAATAATATTTGATACATTCAAATCCTCTCATAAGTATATTTTATATTTCCTTACTAAAAATTGTTTAATATAGTAAATATTTTTAATGGTAAATTGTCCTCAACCCACCACAACGTAATTAACTTTCACTGTAGTTATTGGGTATAGGCTCTTTTTTTTGTCCCATTCCCTTTTATATAATGCTATAGAGGTTTAAGTAATATTTTTCGAAATGTTGCGCCTACAAGTACGTGCGGCTTGCCCACAAACGTGTGGAGGGCTCCTTATATTTTAACTTTTATACCCAAATTTAACTGTTACAATAAGATGGAAATGAGGAAAACCTAGCGTAGCTCTGTTGCATTTCAACACTAGAGGGCATAAGCGCTATATATCACGTATCACGTAAATAATATTTGAAGATATTAATAAAGTTAAATTCGTAGTGTTTAAACTAATAGTTGAAGTGGACAACGTGATGTTATTAATTATGTTTATCATTTTTATCACTTACCTTTTAATTATATTAAAATCACTTTTCAATTTTGTTATGTGGCCATTTTCTGATATAATAGTAAAAATTTAATACGTACCCAAGATAGCCGCTTATAAAATGTAAGAAATATTTTATAAAAATAATTAAACATGACGGGTTATTTATCTATTGTATAAGTTAATTTTACATTTTAAAAATTTAAATAATTAACATCCATCAGATGGCGTAATAGTAAGAAAATTTAATCGATTATTTTAAAGTATTCTATTACCGCACTTTTAACATTAGAATTCAAATAAATGTAATGCAATCTATAGAAAATTGAATTTCTTTCTAATGGTAATGATGCTATTATTTTAATATGATATTTCAAAAATATCTGATTCTCTAATATATATACAGGAATAATAAATAAACCTATTTTACACTTGTTGAAATATGGTTTTTTATAAAAATTTGACTTTTTACTACTTATGATGTACTAATTTCTAAGGGTTATGTTAGAAGTTTGGATATATCCTCCAAAGTAAGGTCCTTCAATTTTTAACACCACTTAAAATTTATTTGAGATGATTACATATTCTTTAATTTTAATTCTAAATATATAGCTGATTTTAATTCTATTTTTGGTAAATTAAGATGTGACAAAATAAAACTTAAAATTAACACAAAAATTATGATTTATATTTTAATAGTTTTTTATTTATAATTTTTAATTAACAGTTTTAATATTGTTTTGCAGCTATAAAATATTTAAATTGTCGTCAAATGTAAAAGTTAATATAATGAAAAATTTATATATTAATCAATGAAATATTGAAATTAACTTTCTTGTTAAATAATTTAAACATACTATATATAATATTATTTTACATCATTGGTTAAGCATGACTTGATAATTTTACTAAACATAAATTTAAAAAAAATAATAAGATAAAATAAATAAGCTAATAAAAGTGTATTATAAAATTTAAAAACGAATAACATATATATTGTTATGAATCTATAAACTCGTCTGAGTAAAACATTGTTTTGCTTTAAATTATATGTTTAAAATGTTATTAAAATTTTTTAAAAATATTTTAGCTAAATAAAAGTTGTTCATGAGTTGCTAATTTCATAAGTTGGGATATTATAGGTGCTTACAGTTTTGAAGTAGTGAATAGAATATATTTTGTAAATTACTGTCAGCTGATTTTACTATAAAACGCCGTGTTTTATATTATATGGAAGGTGGTAAAAGGTATTTGCCCAATTTATTAATAAAGTTTTCTAAATTAATATCAGATATGGTTTAATTGATGCAAAGGAACTCAAAGTTTCTCTACAATTTAGTAAGGTTAAAGAAAAGCAACCGGCAACTATAGATAATAAACTGAAAGAGGTTCAATTTAAAATTTATTTATTCATCTTAATATATTTATGTATGTTGACAAATTCTATATTAGAATAATGAAAATGATAAAAGGTCAATTATGGAGGACTATAATTATCCTCAGTCAAAGTATGATGCTAAAAAGGTAATGGTTTTGTAAATATAATATTTATACATCACTATTTAAATCTAAAATTCAAGAAAAGCAATTTGCTTGAAGATAGCTCTGTATATCAGTACGATGAACTATATGATGATATGAAAGCTAAAAATGAAAAAGTACAGTTGGAAAAAGCTTTGGAAAAGAAAAGTCATAAGGTAAATATTTTGATAGGACAATAAGATAATATATTTATACTCTTATTTATTTAATGTATAATCTATTTATCCATAACAAAAGCCAAAATATATGACCAAGATCTTAAAACATGCTCAATTTAGACAAATTGAAAATGATAGGAGGGCTGAATCTAAAATACAAAGAGAACGAGAGATGGAAGGGGATGAATTCCAAGACAAAGAAACTTACATAACAGATACTTACAAGGAAAAGATGGAACAGAGTCTTTTAAGACTTGAGATGGATAAGAAAGCTGAAGAATTAGAAAGTTAAAAACAATTATATTTGTATATAATTTTTAAAAATTTCTTAATAAGTAGAATAAATTACAGAGATGTGCTATAACTGATTGGGGAATTCCTTCCAAAAACAACTAAATTTTTATGAGTTCCCTTCCCATAATTTTTTCTATAGCTGGAGATAAATTAAAATATCCTATTTTCTTACAAATAAGGGTGTGTGTGCATCTTAATATTAATTTTTTATTATCTTATGATTTAAATATTTGCCAAAAAAAATTGTTACAAATCTCATTTACATTATTTAAATGATCTATGCTTTATAAAGAAAAATATAGCATCACAACTTATAAAAATGAGCTTATCAATGATTACAGAATGCAGATATTGATATTGCAATAAATAGTAAAAATGAGATTGATACTTCTAATTTAGAAACATCATATGTACCATATACTATAATTGAAGAGCATCTGTCAGATTCAATTTCTTTATGCATATTTTTTTTGGTTTCAAAGGAGAATATTTATATTGTTATGCAACAATAAATTAGAATATAATTTAGATTTTAAACCCATTTTCAAAAAAGGAAAAAATTTCAAAAATACCCTGTTTCAAATTTTAATAAGCAGTTGCTTTGTACCCCCCCCCCCCCTTACTCCCTGCTGTTAAAGTCACTATATTGTTGATCTTTATTCCCTCCTATATTTTCAATTTTTTATAAAATGAAAATAATGTAAATAAATACAGATAATATGTAATTAATGTATTTTACCTCTGATCCTATTTTTTTTTCTAGCAAATTTAAATAAATCATAGACAACTGCAGAAAAAGATCCTGACCCATAAACAAAAAAGTACGCGAGATAAAAATATTCATATTTTAGAGAGAAGAATTATTTTTCTTCTTAAAATACACGGTGTTTTTATCTTGACCATTGGTATCAGATATAGACTTGCGTCGCTAGTTCAAATATGGCGCTATTGAGACCCCTGATTTTATTTTTGAATTATCAAAACTCCCACTAGACACGGGGTCATTGAGGGGTGTCCAGTTACATCAACAATTTCATGTTATTTGTCATTATTTTATTATAACTATTCAATTAAACTCCTTTTCTATCTAGATAAAGATCGGGAGAACCTGACATTCAACAAATTTTACAATAATATTTACAAGCTGAAGTTTGGTCAAGTATTAAATCCCAAGGTGTCTGACGACAGTGATCTCGATGAGTAAATTTTTTAACGTAAAATATTTTTTATTAGACCTATAAATCATCAACTTGTGCCTGCCATCAATGGACGTATTTGCTTACCCCATCCAACTTTAATCTTGATAAGGCATGCCAACAAATTTTTTATTAATTATAAGTTTGTTGTATACCATTAGATATACAACTGTAACATAATATGTTTGGTGCATTGACGCCGCCACCAAATCTTCAAGCGGCTGCGAAATCGGCGCGTTAAACGCCTATTCCATTGTTTATCACGGTTTCGATGTACGGGTGTAATTAAAAATATTATATTTGAATTATTTTAAATCTTGCAATAAGAACTATATTTGGGTGAAAAAAATCATTATCTTCTAAGAATATACATAAATCTTTTAAATATAAATAACTCAAGATCTAATCAAACAAAAGCGTCTAATGATGGCAAACAATCGCCAAAACTCGAGAGAAATGATGATCTAGAAACTGAATTATCATCAATCAAAGGTGATCAATGATAATATAATATTCATTATTTATTCTTAAATTCTTTTAAAAAGTGTCCTTAGGAGTCAGCTGAACCGCCATATTGTTTGCGCTTCGATTAAATGCATTAACGCGCATTCATATTTTGACGCTGTGCCGTTTTCAATGACTTTCCTAAAGAATTTAACTGTCCTTTGGATTGACCGTCCTACAGAACTTACTTATTATGAATTAATTTATTTTACTTTTCATTTTTTTAAGCAAACTGAAACCAAAAATTAATTACTCTATTTTATTTTTTCTTTAAACCAAAATTATATTTTCAAAAAAATTATAAAAAAGTTAAAATTATATTTTCAACAAAAAAAATATATATTCGACTCACCATGAGTCTCCTTTTTTCAAAGGCAAATAAATCCGCCTAGGTTATAAAATATTAATCCGTGCTAAAAAAAAATATATAAAATAATTTCACAAAAATAACCAACATGTATTAACGTTACAATAATAAAATAAATAAACAAAAATCCTATTATAACACATATAATAATAAATAAAGACAATCAGTCGAAGCGCAAATTACAAAATGGGGCTACAGGTGTGACTCCTATCTGTGAGCACTTTTTATTAACGAATCGCCAATCTAGTAATACATTTAATCCAATAGCAACCTTATTTCGTTATTTTATAAAAAAAAAACCTTGACTCCTAACCAGCACGTGATATATCACATGATCGAAAACGTAATCACAGAAGTCCAAAACACCGAAATGAAGATGATTCGAATTCAAAATCTGCCAAACACGTCAAGCCTCACATTTCGGCTCCGCACAAAGATTCGAGTGGAGGCGCGGAAAGGACTAAAAAATCAGTCGATAAAACCAAACGGCGTAAAGTCGGCTCAGAGGATCGCGTCGTTAAGCACGAAAAGCATAGAAAGCACAGCAGAGATAAAAGTGACGAACGCCGATCACATAAATCTTCCTCTAAATACTCTACCCAAACAACGAGAGAGGAGAGCCGAAAGGAAAAGCACCCCAGTCTTGCCAGACATGCTCGTAGGGATGAATCGAAGTTATCTGATAACGCTCGTAAAAGCGACAAATCTGGTCACCAAAAATTATCGACCCATAAAAAACTGAACTCCCGCAAAAAAATCCAAAAAAATCTGGGCTACCAATCGGATTTGAGCGAATCTAGCGCCGATATATCCTCTAGCGAAAGCGAGCGGGAGGAGAGAGAAAGGCAGAAGGTTATCGTGAACGAACGACTCAAAATATTTGCCAGGAGGAACACGGATTCCAATCAGATATCCCAAAAATTGGGAGAATACATCAAAAGATTGCAAGCCGCCGAAAGTAAAGGAGGCTTGGATCCCGGATTCGAAAGTTCCAGCCTTAGTACTACGATAGGATACGATGTTATACTGAGGCTATTCGCGATTGAAAATTAAAAAAATAATAGATATTTATAGAATAATAAAGAAATGTATATCACTCACTATCAGTTAAGTAAAATTAATTAACATGAACTCATCCCATGAACAATAAATATGCTATATTATATAGAATTGGAAATTATGATCCTTCTTAATTTCTATATAATTAATTGTGTTCTCAAAATTTTAATTTAGGGGGACTTTATTTTTGCCGGTATTATTTCCTGGCAGAGTTGCTAAAAAATACTTTTCAAATGGGAAAACGTATCTAGATGTAGATACTTTTTAAAAGTGTATCAAGATACACGTACAATTTTTATTTTACTTAAAGGATGCATAATGTTTAATATCGGATTCTATTGTTAAAATTTAAATTTCGAAGTGAGTTAAAAAAACAAAATTATCGAGCTGATATCACATCTATATACAAATATATAATTAAATTAATATAATTATTTGTTAAATTTTAATAACAAAACATTCTCAAAATTTTAATCATCTAGAAACCCTAAACCTGTTTATCTGTAGAAACATATTAAGCCATACTAAGCTCCTTCTACTAGCGCACATGACTATTTAGCTGCACTAAACACCTTCTACCGGGGCACGTGATTATTTAGCCACCTCCTTCTACCGGAGCACGTGACTTAGAGTGATTGTTATATTTAATGAACACATATTTGTATAACCATTAAATATATTAAAATCCTGATACTCATTTTTTAAAAAAAATTATTCAAAATTTGATGAGCGTCAAAAACTTATGTCAATATTTCTATCATCTAAGGGGTGCCCAAAAAAAATATAATTTTTATAATTATTTGATTTCTATTCAGAGATTGTCTTGAAACATTGATCTAAAAATGATGATCTATATTTTTAAAATTAATATTTGATTAAAATAAATTTAAATATAAAATTTATCGTGTTGACGTCATCAATTGTCCTAAAATAAAAAAAATTTCTGGTATATTTTTGTATTGAAATAAACTCGGACATATTATTAATTGTATTTAATTTAAATAATATATTTTTTTATATAAAAATAAAATTATATCTAAAAATAGATAAGTTTCATTTGATATAGAATCTGGATACTTATATATTCTATAAAAGTGATTACAGATACAACATTCTTGTAATCTAGATACAGTACCTATATTTGTATCTAGGCACTTTAGAAACTCTGCTTACTGGTATCGGGTCAATTCCTGGAATTATTTCATCTTTTTTTGTAGAACGCCAGTCAAACGGAACGAAAAAAACAATAAGCAGTCTGAAAAAAACACCAAAGCTTAGAGAGGATTTTGAAATTGGTGTAAAATTGATTCCAAAGATCAACCATTAGTGGGTTATAATTTGGTGTTCGATACTCTATAAATGATCAAACATTTTGTTGTAAACTTTAAAATTTAATTATGCATATTTTATTTATTATCTAGAATATGATATATATATATATATATATAATAATATAGTATAATAAATATATATAATATAATATTGTAAGTGTTTGGTTTTTTTTGTACATTTGATTTATTATTAATTAATATATAAAACAATATTTAACAAAGGGAATACTGGAACAGTTATCGATAAATGAAATGATAATATACGAATTTCAAAATGTAAAAAATAAATGCATATAAAGACAAATCAAATTGTTCATACATGTAAAGACAAAATACATTTTGCCATAAATTAATACTTGTAAAAAATATTCTATAATGTTTAAAATTATGTCTTCATTTTCCTTCAGTTCCCAGATAGAAAATAAGCAATGAACTAAACCCAAACAAGTCGATCTCAAATATCTTTTTTTTAAAAATTAATAGGGTAAAATATGATTATAGGTTGGTCCTTTGCTCCCATCGTTATTAATAGATTGTTGTTGCTGCTGCATGAGTCTCATCCTCTGATGTTCCGTATAGTAATCCATAGTTTGTCCTTGAGGTCCAACCTGTCCTGGTGGACCCCGAGGCCCTTGTAGACCAGGGCTACCTGGCTGGCCTCTCGGTCCTATTATCGAATCTCCTGGGGGGCCTGGTGGTCCTAATATTTTTTTAAATAGAATGTATAGCTTTCTTTATTAATAATTTTATTAATTATATACAAATACCAGGTTCTCCAGTAATTCCAGGATTTCCATCTATGCCTCGGCCAGTTAATCCCCTATCTCCCTTCGGCCCTTTTTCGCCTGTATTTAAAATAAAAAATAATTATATTTTAAGTTTTAACTGCGCGCTTTTTAGGATTATTTATTAATTGCCTGGTCACATTTCATAGTTATTATAGTGAGATTTTAAAAACGCGCAGGACAAATCGCAACGCGATAATGGAGATTATAAAAACCAAACTAATAATATATATACAAAATGAAGGTCACCTCTTTCCCCCATCAGTCCCGGCTCACCCGGTGCACCTGGCATTCCCGTATAACCTCTTTCACCCTGGCAACCCATCGCTCCTACATCGCCTAAATTTTTTATTTACGTTACAAAAATTAAAACTAATTTACTCTTTAAAGCGCATAAAGTATCAGTTCCCGATCCATTGATATTGCAAAAGGGACAACACTATGAGAACTTAAATAATACGTATACTTTGGAAAAAGGTTAAATCTTTGTTATGTTTAAAATTTGGAGGGAATCGATACATTTTAAAATGATCTCGTAAATATTTGTTTTAGAAATAATTACCGGGAGAACCCGGATATCCTGATTCACCTCTAGGTCCGGGTTTTCCTTCTCCAGGAGCTCCTGGCGGACCTTTCATTCGAGCTGCCAGTTCTTCAAATTTTTCTACAAATTGCATATAAACATTTTCAAAATGAAAATTGTAATCATAAAAAATGGTATTTCTTGCCTTGTATGATTTGTGACACCAGAAATTCAATGTCTTCCATAATAGCCACCATTCCCTTGACAATTCATTAAAAAAAAATAATTAGTCATTAATTCAAACTGTATAATATTGCTGTGGTAAATTTTTCTTGAATTCGTAACTATTTGAAATCTCTGATTTAAGTTGGTTACAGATTCTACAAGAAATGTACAGTACGTACTCCACCTTATGTTTATTACACAAAATTCTACGGCGAAATTATCTAAAATTCATAGAATATTACGCATGCTCAGATACAACAAATTTAAAAAATTGGCCATTATTTCAAAAAACACCATGTATTTTAGCTTTTTAACAAAATATATTTCTAACTTTTTTAGGAGTAGTATTATTTATCGAATAATTTGTGATGGAGGCCGAAGAGTGGCATTTCAAAAATATCATTTTAAAGCTTAATTTTTCATATTTGAAATGATAAACTGTCATTAGAGAACAAATAAGAATTGACATACTCATCATGGTTAAGGTTTAGTGATTTCATTGAAGATTTTTATTTCTACCATTATTTATCAGTTTTATAAAAAATGAACTTTATTTATATTACCGGAGGTCCAGGTAATCCTGGTTTTCCTGATGCTCCAGGTGACCCCTGAGATCCGGTCGGTCCTGGCTGTCCTTCTAAGCCCGGCATCCCAGGGGGACCCATCGAACCAGGCAGACCCCTATCACCAGCTGGTCCCCTCTCACCCGCCATGCCTGGATTGCCGTGCGAACCAGGCATTCCCTGTAAAAATTTTAATTTTTGAATATAAATGTGATAATCGATTTTGTATACTCCTTTTTATGACCTTTTTTTTATTACTAAAAAGAATAGGTTGAATGTAATGGAATCATAATGGTAATCAAAATTATAATAGTTAATTAATTGAATGCAGGCCACATACTGGCATAGTCAGGGACTTCTACCTTGGGAGGGGGGGGGGGGCTGTTGTGACGCAATATCATTATTGAAATTGTGGTGGGCTAAATAAGTAAAATTTTGGGATAAGGGATGGGTGACTATGTCAGTCTTAGAGAGTTGTTGAAGTCCCTTAGTGCCTCAGAACATTCTAACTAAATACGGCGTTTCAACCCTTTAAAAATTTCAAATCAGAGCTATTTCTGCTCTCACTAATCTATAAGAAGGATACTTAAAAAAAAATAAGATGATGATGCATGTTAATCGTTAAATTTTTTTTTAATACCTTTTTAAAAGTTTGTTTAAAAGAGCTATGAAGGGTTTTGTATATATTTACTCAGGTACAACTTCAAAGAAATACTATTAGATGTGTGAGAATAAGTGCGCTTATGTTTTTTTTATATGCCACACACATACTTTTATAAGAATGTTGTTTAAACATTTCTCGCATTCCACGGGGAAAAAAAATATTTAGACCTTTACGATTTCTTTTTGTATTCTTAATTCGTTAGACAGATGTTTTATTTTTTATTTTTTTACATCTTATCTTATCTAGTACGTGGTGGCAGACCTAATAACCTTCATGTTTTCAATTTATTGTATCATGCAATTTATTAGTGATCTGATATAGTTGGGCAATGGCGGCGAAATGTCGGTTATATTCGGCTCAATTTTTAGGCCGGCTAAAAACATATTGACTTATTCTTAGCCGGATAAAAAATTAGTTTAGCCCAACTATAGTTATTGGAGAACTTGGAAGTATTAAAGATGACATGCTTATATTAGTTAATTAAAGGAAGGGTTTAATTAGTTATTATTAAAAAAAAAGTTTCAGCATGCTATATTAACCGATTTCATAAGCGCAACAAAAAAAAGTGATCAAATTATATAAGCTGTGCCATGCCCATGCCAAATATGGTTATCAAAGTCTCACTCTGGGCCCTTGGAGGCTAGAATAGGACGGTGTTGGATTCACGTCAATAAAATTAAATTCATCAATCTTGGAACAAAATTAATATATCAAACTAAAAAAATTTTATAAACATTAAAATTTCAAATATGTTAAAATATTTTAAATTTTTTTAATCTAATCTTCTAAGATTTTTTGATTTTTATAAAAAAAAAAAAGAAATTCCAAATATAAAAATATTTTTTAAAATTAAAATATAACATATCCTTATATCTGGTATAATCTATTTTTACCTACCGCATCGAATTTTAATTTAAAGTGGTACAAAATGTGGCAACATTTTTGCTGTTATAATGTTCTATCTCTCACAAAGAATAAACCAAATGTTTATAAAAAAATATTTAAAAAAAAAACAAATATTTGCTAAATTTTGTTTTTATAAATATATCAGAATATTTTTAAAAATAAATTATTATACATGTTGAGCCTTCTTCATGTATCTTGAGTCCAAAAACGGGTTCTTTAATTCTAGATATATCTTTTCGAAATTGAAAAAAATAAAATACGTGAAAATCAAAAAAATAAACTTCCGTTTACATGAATTAAGCGGGGAAAGGATTTTTAAAGGAAATAAGATTGTCAACCTTCTTCCACTCAAAGGATTGCTCAACTGAAGGAATTTTATTTTTAAGAGTTTTAAAATTTACTTCAAAAAAACAAAACATGATAAAAAAAAATTTTTGATTATTAAACTTTCAATTGACGTTGTATTTTTTCATCCGTCAAGGCATCGTTGTCAACTTCATCTACCTAATACATATATGAATAATTTGTTATAATATCTCCTTAGAAAAAGAAAATTTTAGTGAAGATTTCCCTTGTAAAAATTCTGTAAATAAAATGGTCAGAGTCTTCAAAAAATAGTGATCACTTTAAAAAAAATATATATATATATATATATATATATATATATATATAATTGAAGATAAGTGATAATCATCATAGCAAACAGAAAGATTCAACACAAAGCAAGACAAGAATACTCAGAAGCGTTTTGTTTTAAAATAAATATATTTATATCCTCTGGTATTGTTGCTAAACTGACCGATAAGATTTTAACCATTGATAATATGTGAACCTCAAGATTTGACCAATGGAGGTTCCAAATCTTTTTGCCACTTATGAGAAAAATTCTCCAGGCTTACATGGTAATATATGTTTTGGCTAAAATATTAATGTGACCGTTTTTTAAAAATCGAACCCAAATTGGGCAGTTTAACAACAACACTCTCTCCTGGAACATCTCTCATTATAACTATGGAAAAATTAATAAAAAATTCGTTTACTTTTCAAAATTTTCATTATATTCATATATTCCCGAAACTAATTTATTACCCCCCAAGGAAAATTTTTAAAAACTTTTCCCAATGTTTGAATTCCTCAGAAGAACCAAAAATACTTAAATTTACAGCCCATACCCTGACACCATATCTTAAATACTTTTTAAGTATATGACTTATTTTAGAATTTTTATATTTGTAAATATTTTTAAAAAAAATTAACCACGAATCCTGGTGGCCCGACATCTCCTTTACTACCCTTTTCTCCTCGAAATCCAGATATACCATCATACCCCGGATTGCCTGGAACCCCCTAATAAAGATGTATTGATTAAAGGCTCTAAAGATATTTATCATCCTTGATACATTTTAATTCTACCATTTTGTGTAAAATTTAAAGAACTAATATTATTTTATAGATAAAAATTTGATAGCACAATGTGGTAAATTGATAAGAATTTTGACCTCACCTTATTTGAGGTTATATCGCGTTTAAAATTTTCCACAATTTTATCCAAAAAATATATGATTAACTCAAGAATTATTAATAATATAAGTGCAATAACTAAAAAATTCCTAATATTTTGTTGCTTTACTCTAAAAAAGAATGAAGAATCTAACCTTTTTTTTATAGCTTTAATCTGTCTATGTAATTAGTCAATGTATAACAAAAAAAATATCATAAATAATGTTTTACCATGTCTCCTTTCTCTCCCTTCTGATACTGAACACTATCCTTTCTTTGACAGTCTTCACCTTTGTCTCCCTTGTGGCATATCAAGAAATAATTTAACATATCAGTTTAAGATGGGGATAAAATGAAGTGAATATTATAAAACTCAAATTAAAGGACAACTCTCGAACTATTAAAATTTCTAAAACCTTGACTCCTGGTAGCCCCATTAGCCCTAGGTCTCCATCTTTCCCCGGAAGACCGGGTAACCCCCGCAAACCCGGATCTCCATTTTCTCCGGACGGGCCGATAATTCCGGTAGGACCAATTGGCCCCGGTGGTCCGGGTGGGCCTGCCGGACAAGTTTGGTCGCACGGTTCGATTGTCACTACCGCGGTTTTTTGATGCTGGTAAACCTTTTCCATATCCTGATAATCGTGATGATACATATCGTCCTAATTATATAAATAATATAATTTTTGTTAAGTCATTTTTTTCTTAAATATACGTCTTTTATTCATTTACATTCTTCCATTTTCATATTAAATTTATTTTATTTATTAATTTTTTTTTTAAATGAGAGATTTAAATTATTTACATTACTATGGGCGCAATATTCGTATTCTGGTAGGTTCAATTCGCAACTTATAATCATTGAACGAACATCGACCTATAATTTTGAAGAGTATAACAATCATATGAATTCAAATTTCATGAAAGGACTATAAAAAAATTTTGACCAATTATATCTTGATTTTAAGATACTGACTAGGTAAAATTAGCCAATCATATCTTGATTTTTAAGATACAGACTTGGTAAAATTAGTAGCCAATCATATTTTGATTTTAAGATATATATAAGCCAATCATATCTTGATTTTAAGATACAGACTAGGTAAAATTAGTAGCCAATCATATTTTGATTTTAAGATATATATAAGCCAATCATATCTTGATTTAAGATACAGACTAGGTAAAATTAGCCAATCATATCTTGATTTTAAGATACAGACTAGGTAAAATTAGTAGCCAATCATATTTTGGTTTTAAGATATATATTAGCCAATCATATCTTGATTTAAGACACAGACTAGGTAAAATTAGCCAATCATATCTTGATTTAATATACAGAAATAGTAAAAAATGGGCGATGTTCAAAAGCGAAGTCACGATTCGGGTTAGTAAAATACAGTGATAAACATTTTTTTTAAAATCAGGATCTAATAAAAGGAAGGCTGTTCGTAAAAATTAGTTTCCATCGCACTTCCCCCTTAAAAAATAATGAATCTAATAGCTATTATTCAGCATCTTAGATAATTCGGGGTTAATGCTTAATGCTGTTATTTCACAATTTTTTTAGAGCGATGAGGAAGTGGCTTTATTTCGTAAAATTTCGTATTTTATAAATTTAAAATAAGATTTATTTTTTTTTACTAAATAAAATAAAATAGAGAGCTAAAACCAACCAATCAAATAATTTCAACAAATCGGGCGAGCCAATGGGTTGAACAAAAATCTTAAAAGCCGGCGCAGGTTTGCGCTTAAAATTTTTCTTGCCCATTGCAGACAAACTCGATCCTGGTAAAATCAAGTCTTCTTATTCTCAAATTTTGGAATTTTCCAGTGTTTGAGATATAAGATGGAAAGATTTGATTTTGACAAATAAAAATAACACTCAAGACCCTCAGTTATATATATTTTTTGAGGATATTTAAGTTTAATGTATTCTATATATAAATTTATTTTATTAAACAAAAAATGAGAGACGGTGTTTTATTGGTTATAAAGATTTCGAAATGCCATGTTTTATTTTTCGCCCACCCACTGTCGCTCTATTCCACAATCCAACTCCATGTCCATAACAGATGACGCCTGAGTTTTTGGTTCCCGGTCTAATATACCCCATGGCTTAAAAGAAAAAAATCCAAAAAAAAATTGGCTCTCACTTCTTAAGTTCAACGACTAGAATTTTTCCTAATATACATTTAGATTGAATCCTCTAGGAAAAACTCATATTATGAAAAGTTATTTCTTATGAAACAAAACTTACTCCTATCGATCTTTTGCTGCCCTCTTTGGAAGTCAATATAAAATTTCCACTGGCTCCTAATTCCGCCATTCCACGACTGGAAATGATATCGAATTGTTTACAATCCACGTTAAGTTGTACTTCATTTTCCATAACTATTATTTGGAGTTTGTGCCATGATTTATCGAAGATCTTGATACATTTTTTTTTTGTACGAATAAATATAAAAAATGAAAATTTTTACGAGAGAATTTCAAGTGTTTTTTGAATTAGGTGTAAGGTAGTAGACTAAATTACTCTATACATATATGCAGAACATTTATATTGCTAAAATATTATTCCTAAGCCCTTCAAACTGGACTCATAGTAGTGTCGAATCATCTATCTGTCAATCAAAAAAAAAGAGTTAGCGCCTTTTACAATATTACCGGAACGTCTCTGAACACTTGCCATTGCCTGTCGAACCTTCGATCCAAAGAATATATTTCGATGCTTTTGTACTGGCCGTTAATCCTGATTCCTATGATTGGATGATTGGTGTCATTCGTTATCACGAATAAATTCCAAACATCATCGACAGACGCGTCTACCGCGTCTCTCTTGAAACTGGTCGTTAAAGTAAAGTGAGGAGGGAAACCGTACGGAAATAGTTTTCTAGGTAATAAGGAGAAGAACAAAAATTATTTGAACAATTAAAGATCCTTAATTTCTCGAGGATAAAAATCGCTTGAAATATATACGGTAAGTGCTTAAAGTGATGGCTACCATTTTTTTTTTTTAAAAAGCTTAAAATATTTTAATTACTGTTTTATTTCAATTTCAATTACCTTTAAATTTAATTAATTAATTGCCAAATTCCTCGATTAAACTAGATTTATATGAATGTATTTTTCTGTTAATAAGATTTAAATTAGGCATGTCTGATTTGGGTACGACTTGTGTCAAATCAAAAATCGTTTAAAAATAAATTGATCATTTTATAATGGAAGGATATATCATAAAATTGTTTTATCCAATATCTTTGAAATCATTAGTGTCAATGATTAAGGTTAGGTTGGTATCCAAAATCTTTAAATGGATTTTAAGTGTTTTCAGAAGGCAGTTCGAATATAAATTTTGCGCGTTTTGATGTCCTATTCAATATTCAGAATGCGAGAATCTATATAAACTCCCATGGCGCGTAAGATAAATATATACAAACCAAATGTTTAACCCTTTAGATGATCCAGAAGAACGAACCTTAATAAATAAAAAGTTGCTTCTGTTTCTTTATACTTTTTAGGCAAGTAAGTTTGGTACAAAAAGAATTTTAAACTTCTGATTCAGCATATTTATAAGAAATAGATTCTTAGAAACACACGCCAACATATTTATTGTTAACAATATAGATTAAAATAAATTACTAGGCTACTCTACAATTCTACTTTCTACGATCTCTCCTAAATCTTACAGAACCACCAACAAACAGAAAATAATAGGAAGATTTGACGGAAGCGACATATGTCGAGTTTTAAAGATTCCCATAAATCAGAAAAATATCCACTCCCCCAATCACTCCATTTACCGTTCCGATAGGTTAATAAACTATTATCCTATCTGCATAACCTTTCATTCATTTTAAATAGCGAAGGTCACGGTCCGGTCTTTGGTCCGGAGACCGATACCCTCGGACCGGACCACGGTCCTTAAGAAAAAGATCGATCCAGACCGTGGTCCTAAATAAAAAACATATTTTTTTTAACCTAATTTGATTTGTTTTATCATTTTATTAAATATAAGAGTATTATATAAACAATAAAATTTATCCAATGGTATTGAAGAAAATGATTTTGTACTTGTGAAGGGCATATTAAAATTAAGAGTAGATTGTGTTTTTTGAGATATTTTTATCTTCATCATTAGAAGTATATATTTTATGTTTCATCAGATGTCTGCTTAAGGTACCTAATTATTTTATTAAGAATAAGGTTAAGTTATTTTTACAATAAATTATACAGACAGTTTCTTAAAAAAAAAAATAGAAATATATAATAACTAAAATATTTTAATAATATTACTGCTTATTTTGATTGCTTAAAAAAATTATTGTTACTAGTTGCTGACGATACATTAAATTTGGTACTGCAGTGAACGCATACTCTATGTTTTTTATTGGGACTATAAGTAAAATGTTTCTTGGACAAACTTATGGTTTTCATATTGTAAAATAAAAATTAACAAAATCTAAAATAACTCATCTAGAAAAATATCGTAAAATAAGATATACAAAAAAATTATATTAATTGTATAGTAAAGCAAACTTAAACAATAATAAAAAACCGGTCATGACGGCAAAAAATAAAAAGACCGGTCCGGTTTTTAAATCTATTTAGATCTTCTTTTTTAAAAAAAAAAATTAAAAGATTCAATCGAAAACTAACATAGTCGGAAGTACAAATTGATTGCCTTTCGAATAATGGTATGCGATGGTTTCATTTCCGGTACTTGAGGATATTCTCTTGAGTCCCTTAAATCTTGTGATGTTAGCGTAACGGAAGAGATCTTTGTTGAGATTGTATTCTTTATATTTATTGATTAATCACGGTGGATTATACTTATAATTATTTCAAAGGTATATAATATATGTATGTTAGCGCCAATATGATTGGACAATTTAAAGCCTTAATTTTTGAGTCATCATATAATTTTATGAAATAAATCTATGGAAAATAACTAATATAAACTATCATTAAGTTCAAAAAGTTCACGTGACAAAATTGTCTGAAATTCACATAGGATATATATATATTCCAAACATGACGAAATACATATCCTGGAAAAATCAAAATTTAAAAAAAAGAAGAAGATTTGTTACCTCTGATGTATGAGCAGGAAGGACTTATCGGCGATTCATATATAGATTTAGCTTTAGATATAAAAATATGAATCAAAAATTATTATTAAATTTCCTTTTGGTTTTGATTCAATTCCATTCTTTTTTAAAAAAACGTTTTCTTATTTAAATTCTTTTGTTTTTTTTAAACGTTTTTGATGTTTTTTCTTATTTCCGCTTTTTATTTCCCTTCGCTTAAATTGCTTAAATTATTTGGTATAAGATATTTAAAAAAAAAATAATAATAGGGTTCGGTTCGGTTCATATTTTTTTTAGTGGGTATAGTTTAGAAATTATAAGTTCCATTTATTTTACTCCACTAGAAAAATTATATAAGGCGTGTAACAGCTGTGTCGAAAACTTGAAATTTATAAATTTAAAAAAAAAAAAATTAAACTTGTGGATAGATGGTTCGAAGTGATGATGGAAAATATCGCAACTAAAAGTATCATGAGTTTAGGAATCAATTATCTTTAGCGGAATTATTTATGTACACAAAAAATAAAAGGACTAGATATAATATAATTTTTAATTTTAGATCTGAGAATTTCTTTTATCGCTAACATTCATTAGACATCTTGGGCTTACGATGCTAAGACATATGGGCCGTGCCCTGGTTTTTTCCAGCTCAGACCTAACAGATTGAAAACAGGAAAACCCTCTCTTGGTTTGTTTTCTAAGAGTATTAAAATGAATATTTTTGGGAAGAGTCTCACAAAGATAAGCATGCCTAAATCTAAATACCCCTTTTTTAGAGAAAGCTAATATAGAGGGCTAAACTGCTATTTAGAAATACGACGAATTCAGACACGGCCTCATCTCTCTTATAAAAAACCTACATATACAGTGTTGAGCAGATATGTCGAAAATCATTTCCAGGTTTTGTTTAATTTATTTTGCAAATAAAATTATTTAATTTGCAATTAAAAAAATTGGACATATTTTTATCAAATCTTGATGAGGGGAAAAAAAGATGGGAAAGGCAAGTATTCCTAAGTCAGTCCTGAAGAAAAATTCGATGCACCTGAAGATCAGAGAAATATTCTCAATAGAATTCTCTAGCTTATTTAATAATATCACATAAATAATGCTCAATATTACAAAATTTATGATTAATAATTATCTAATTTAATCAATCTATCAATTATTCTATGCTATAACTGCATCTTTTTTTATTTATTACCTGATTTCATATTCTATACTACTTATTAACCAGGGAAATGACAAAAAAATTTATACAAATATGCAATTTCTTGTCAAAATAATTAAAAATCTTTGGCACCCTCCCTCCCCCCCCCCTATCCTTCAGATTATTCCGATCCTTAAATTAAGTCTCACCTAATGAAAGTAGGGAATGATGGATCAGCTATGGGCTATGTATTCGTGATTCTGAGGTTAATAGGTGGTGGGGGCGATATAAATAGAAGTTGAAAGAGCTAATCGATCTAGCATGGGGTTTAAGACGAAGACGTTTTGGGTGTTTCTCGACAGGATAAGGTGACTGCTGGTACACCCTTGTTTACAGATAATATTATTTTGTAGTAATAAAAAAAAATAGTGTCTGTTAATCGAGGTAAAACTGGAGAAGTTAGTGGAATGCTTTAGAAAGAGATACAGGGTGAAGATTAGGAGGAAGAAAATATTTACTTTATTTAAGTGAAGATTTATTTTCCTAGACTTAGTAATCACATTCAGAGAGAAAAAAAAATAGCTTTTTATAGTCATAAAAATTTGAATAATTTTAGATAACAAATTCAAATGTATTTAAAAATCGAATAATTTTGAAGGATAAATCATATTTTAATTACTTTCTTTGATATTTTGTAGTTTATAATCTAATGGATTCATCCATTAGTCTTATCTATTACATTAAAAAATTTAAATTCTTTAGAGAAAGAAACCCCCATTCAAAAAAAAAATGTATTTAGCCATCTTTGCAATTAGTTACCTTTATAACTTTTATCTTATTTTGCCATATCAAAAATATATTTTTTTTCCTTTGTTTTATGTATAATTATCTTTATCTTTTATCTTTATCTTTTCATCTTTGTAATTATTATTGTAATTACTATTTTTGATAATTTGTCTAATCTTATAAGATAAGGCTAGGGAAATGATCATACGAAAAGAGGAAGAGTTTGGAATGGAATGGAATGGAATGGAATGGAATGGAATGGAATGGAATGGAATGGAGGGTGGGGATTAGCGTTATCTTTTCCTTATTTTCAAGGCAGACTTCCGTTTAAAATAAGGATTGATTAAAAACCATATTTCATTTTCTAATATAAATTTCTCGCCTGATTTCCAGGTCCATTTGGCTCGTGAACTAACGATACAAATGACTCTAATTTAATCTCTAACAGATCTTTTTATTTTTTTGACCATATCCTTAAGTGTGGTTTAAATTAATAAAAGTGTTGCGACAAATAGGTTAGAAACCCCGAAACCCCTGTTTCCCAAACCCATAGAATTCTCCACCCTAAGACTATCTATCACTCTTTTCGAACGGTTTAATTTATATAATGTCTTCTTTCCTCATATCATATAGTTCAGAATTTCATTTATTTTAAAAAGGACCAGAAACTCTTTTTATGAACTCGAATCCTCCGATTATTTCCCAAACAACAATCTTAAATTCTTTCAAATTATTATTCAGGGAACGTTTAGCCATAATTTTTGTATCATGCTTATAATCTTCAAAAAATTATGGCACAAAGTCAACTAATGAATCGTGTAGAGAGAAAGGAGATCGGCCGGGGTAACATTGACCCTTGAGCACAAATAACATAAATTAGGTGTGAAGATGTATTTTTATATAAAACTTCTCTTCTACATTCTTTTTATTTTCCTGGTTTGTCATATTTTTTTAAAAACTCGTTAAAATTACGAAAGTGACCCTCTAGTATTTTTTTGTTTTTAAGAAAATGTAAATTTGTTCACATGATTTAAAAATTTGTATAAAGGTTCCATAAAATTTTAGCTATATAATAAAATTTATCGGGAGTTTGTAGCGAAATATGAAGTCACATAATACCGATTTGGGTAATATCACCTTGGGGGGGGGGGGTTATAGCTGTTATAGGTTAAACGGTTAAAAATGTTCTCTCCGATTAAATCTACAAAAAATTATTTTGGAATACTAATGTCTACACCATATACATGATATTTTCGAGTAAAAAGAAGCATTTATTAATAGTTTTGTGCTTATATGGAATAAAGGTTTTAGAAATAGCCTTAAAGGAATGTACGATGTGCCTGTGCTAAAACTGTGCTATTTCCCATAATTTCCTTACACATTCCATTATTGTATGTATTAATCGAAACTTATAATATTTTGTTGAACAAAATAACAAAATTGCTTTTAATTTTAATAACCACTTTACCCCGGTGCTTTGCCGTCTTACCCAAGTGCTTATTCATTTTACCCTGGGTACGGAGTTAAAAGGGTAGCCATAGTGCTTCACCTAAGGTAACATTCCCATTTACAATATCGGTTAATATGTCCCACATAAGATTGTGTGCGCCATTGACAAAATTCAGTTCTCAAAAATTCTCAACTAATCTTTAGCCACGAAATTGAGACACCTACGTTTTTAAATAGCTTTGATGACCAAATTTGTTGAAGTCTCAAAGATAGCAAAGTTAGGTGTAATTTTATTTGGACATCTGTTTGATTAATACGACTAATTTAATTTCACAAAAAGATTTGATCTTATTACATAATTTTTAGTGTTTACTTTTCTAGTAGTCTTAAAGGAATTTCAGAAAAACTTCCACAAAATTAGAAATAATAGGTGAATATCTTTTCTAATAAATCTATGGTTCAATAATATATTTTTAAAAAAAATTTTTAATTATTTTTTTGAAATTGCTTGGGTAATAAGGTAAAACATTGTATTTTATTATATATATTTTTTTCTTAAAAAAACACAAAATTTTTATAATTTTAAAAAAATAACGTTATTTTTTAATGTTTTTTTTAAAAAATTTTTCGCATATAAAAAATTACGTGAAATTTATTTTGAAATAATAAAATATATATCACACAAATATTTAAAAATTTTTAAATTTTCGCATACTTTTTTATTCATGGCTCTACATTTTTTCTTTTAAATTTTTATTGTAATTTTTTTTGAATTTATAATTCAGATGTATTTTTAAAAATAATGATTTAAAAAATATTTTGCTTTAAAATTATATAAAGTCAATTTATAAGAAATTTTTTCTAACCAAGTTTAAATTAAAAATGCAAATAGGACCTATTTTTTAGTAAAATAATATTGGAAGGTAAGGAATCTTTCTTTAGAATCCGTTCACAACAACCGGCTAGATCCTGAAAAAAAGTCCCTTCCTAACAAGGATTACATCCAGGTTGAAGCTTATAGCACCGAGTGACACAAGCTACCCGATAAACACTTTATGTACTAATATGTGGCAGTGACGATCCACACAGTGTTTAACAGTACAGGCATTGTATAAGCCTATAAAGATTCTCAGCTCCTAAAATCCTTAAAATTATATCTTTGAATCTAGAAAATAAGAGGGGTACCCGAAAATTCCTATCTTTTCATTGTTTTTAAAACGATTTTTTCGCGACTTAATATTTGTATATAATCAAGGCGAGGAGAAAAAAAAATTATATTTAATTTTAAGGAAAAAAAAATTAACCTTTAATATGATCCATTGATGTGAAAACAATTACAAATATTGAAGATTTTTTTTGCAGCAATTCCTGGCGAAAAAAAGTTGTTAAACACGAAATTTCAATGATAAACAATTCTTTGTTTTTTAGCGATTATCTTTTAAATTTATTTTGCGCTTCTACTTAATAGCGTTTTATCTATCGGGAAAAATCTAGCAAAAATATTATTAGCCTTAATTTCCGCCCATACATCAAATTTGATAATTTAATAAGAAACACATTTTTTTTATTCTCAACATATATTAATTCTATTATAACGTAGTTTTAGATTTTATAATATATACATAGAGAGATAGGTATTGTTGCGAATCAAGAGAACATATATTTAAAATTTAAACATTTTTTAAATTTATTTTTTGTTAAAAAAAATTTAATTTAATTATAATATAGTTTCATCGAGTCGAAATAGAAATATAATATATGTAATATATAATTAAACCTGTGTAACGATTTTATATAAATAATATACAAAAAGGGTATTCCACTAGGAAATTAGGAATAGCCAAATTTTTTTATAAATATTTTATAAGGGAAAATAAAGGGTTGGTAATCTTTTCATGCTATTTAAACATTTAAATAAACATTAATGTATTTTGGCTAATTGATAAATAAGCCTTTTTTCTATCTATTGAAATTATTCTTTATAATGCATTTATTTTTTGATTAGCTTTTTAAGTAAATAAGAATTCAGAGTGGAATTTCTTTCTTCGAATCTCTCAGTAAATTATTTATAAAAAAGAATTTAAAACACATTTTAAACCAAATGGCCCACAAACCACAACTTAAAGATAAAGGAAAAAGGGGGGTTATTTTTATCTTTTATAAGATATTAATATTATTATTTTTTTTTCAGAATTTAAATATAAAACATATGTTATAAATTTAAAGAAAATTAAAATATATTTTTATAATATATTTCCTTTTTTTACTTTACCATCCATTAGTTTATATTTTTTTGGGGAAAAATGCATATTATACAAAATTATGGGTTTAAGTAAAGCTAACTAAACATAGTATAAAATAAATTATATTTTATTGCTGTCTAAATTATTATTTTTTTAAAAAATTTTAAAATTGATGATGGATGTAAGTCTACATTTATAAAAAATAATGAGGATAAGTGTCAAAATGTATGAAATAAATAAAAGATAAAAACAAAAAATAAAATAGATAAATAATTTTTAAAAAAAAATTAAAAGAAAATTAAAACAGAAATATAAAAGATAAGAAAAACAAATAATCGAAAAGAAAAAAGTAGGAAGGAAAATTAAAGAAAGTTATAGAGAAAAAAAAAAGAAAACTTGGAAATTGGACATTAAAATTTCATAGTCTGTTAAATAAAATACATACAATATTCAAATATTATTATTTAGGAAATTGATATAAATTTGATTTTATTTTTTTAATAAATATTAATTTTATAGATATATAAAATTTAAAGATAATTCTGCAATTTTTTTAAATATTAATTAAATGAATTAAATTTAAAAAAAATATAATCTCATAAAAAAATATATAAAATTATTCAAAAAAAAAATATATATATAAGTATCAAAGGCTCTAAAAAGAGCTTAATTTAGTAATGAGTATGTTCCTAACAATTCAAACAATGCTATGTAATGAATATTCTTACAACTTGGGGTGAAATGGCAAATTGAACAAATACATTTATTATTTACATTAGAAATATTTTTGAGGATAATGCCCTGAGTAATGCCCTGAGATTTTTTCCATACAAATATGTTTTGCTCTTAGAAGCCTACAAGATTTACTATTGAGGCAAATTTTTCATAACATTCATTTCATGAACATTGAGTTCAATGGTTTTATTAAAACTTAGATAGGTATGGTAGATTAAATCCTAATTATTTTAAATTTATTCTATAACACATATATATTATTAAACAAGGAGCATCCTTTGAATGAAATCAAAATAATAAATAAATGGGTAATGTTTAGTACTAGCTTATATTACAACATAATTTATTATTAAAAGTAATTCATTCATTTAATTTATTTAATCATCAGCTGATTTTTAAAAAATTTTTCCCAACTTGAATAGGGTTTTATTATAAAATTAAAGATATATTTTCCAATATATAAAAGTTATATCAATAAATTTTTGTGTCATGATGAAAGTAAATCATTAAATTTATATAATTTTTTAATTTATTCTAGCCAATCTTATATTCTTATTATCGAAGCTCATGTTCTTATCGTGTTAGAATAGCTTTAGCCCTAAAAAATATTGATTATGAATATGCCCAAATTAATTTAGTAAAAGATGGTGGGCAACAGGTATTTTTTAGCTATAATTTATATAATTTTATTCCAGTAATCATATATTTTTATTAATATTCTTTGGGGTTACTGAGACTATATAATTCATAGTGCATTAATCATTATTTAATTCTCTTGTTGAACTGGCATAAATATACAGATTTGTTTATTTAACTTTGATATAGTTATAGCAATGTTTTTATTGGTACAGACCTGTTCACAAACATGTAGAAGTTGGCTTAAAATGAGCAAGGGTATTTGGTTAGACTAGACAAGTTGTAATATTTTTAAAGGTTGGGCCTTAAGTTCACAATTTTTTTCCAAGGATTAGAATTTAAAATTTATATCTTTTCTATCATAGAAAATTATTGTATGAATTTGGTAGAGGAATTTAGGGGCCAAGCCATATGTGTATAGGTGGGCACAAAAATCACAAACATTTCTATTATAAATAAAACAAAACTCTAAAGAAATGATCAAAGTTTTTAACCAGAAGGATTTATATGTTTGAACACTGGTTCCTCTATTAATGGTGCTGGTGTCATCTTTATTCATCAATACAAGAGGTCGCCACAGTGTCTTTAATGATTTTGTTAGATAATTTTATAATACAATACAATACCATTATAAATGTTACTATGTCTATATTCATATTAAAGCAGCAATAAAAAAGTCAATAAGAAAATGTTTATATATATAATACTGACATTTTTTTCTCTAAATTATAATAAAAATATGGTTTCTTGTTATAATGTTATCTTATAACAATTAATAATATCTTAATTTTATTCTGATTCCTAAATAATAATAATAAAAATGTTTCATACTGCAAGAAAAGGTTTTTTTTTAGTGGTAATAAATTGGTGGAGAAGCTTAGCAGCCTATAAATTTACATATATGTAGGATTTTAGATTGACCTAGCCTACAAATTTTCCTTGTGGAAAAATTTTTGCAAAATATTTTTAAAGGCCCAAGTCTAAGTAAATTTTTAATCAAGCAAAATTTATATCATTTTTTTTATATCTTAAGGTCTGGGCCAGTTAATCAAAATTTAGGGGGCCAATCCTAAAAACTTGATCAATAAATTCCACGGCCCATTTTGGGCAAAGTTATTCTGCGCTGACCTCTAATAAATCTACTCAAAAACGGATAGAAAAATGAATTATTCGTAATTGATTATTTTAAACGAATCGAACAATTTACTCTTCGTATTACTCGTACGAATACCAATTTATTCAATTCGTTCAAACGAATCTAATACGAATAATTTATTATTCGCCAACTAATGATATATGAGAATTTGTTTATTCCATCTCCTAAATAATCGAAAGAAAGATGATTAGTTTAAGAATTACCAATTATTTTTATTCGTTGATTATTCTGCGCTGACATTTAATAAATCTACTCAAAAACGGATAGAAAAATGAATTATTCCTAATTGATTCTTTTAAACGAATCAAACAATTTACTCTTCGTATTACTCGTACGAATACCAATTTATTCAATTTGTTCAAACGAATTTAATACGAATAATTTATTGTTCGCCAACTAATGATATATGAGAATTTGTTTATTCCATCTCTTAAATAATCAAAAGAAAGATGATTAGTTTAAGAATTATCAATTATTTTTATTCGTTGATTATTCTGCGCTGACCTCTAATAAATCTACTCAAAAACGGAAAGAAAAATGAATTATTCGTAATTGATTCTTTTAAACGAATCGAACAATTTACTCTTCGTATTACTCACGAATACCAGTTTCAATTCGTTCAAACGAATCTAATACGAATAATTTATTATTCGCCAACTAATGATATATGAGAATTTGTTTATTCCATCTCCTAAATAATCGAAAGAAAGATGATTAGTTTAAGAATTACCAATTATTTTTATTCGTTGAATCCAGAAAGATGATTGGTTTAAGTATTACCGATTATATTTATTCGTTGAATCCTGAAAGATGATTGGTTTAAGGATTTACCAATTTATTTTTAATCGTTCAATCCTATGTCTTTAATGATGCTTCGTTTTTCTACTTAAAACTGTTAAAATCTTTAGACTTCGATTTGTAAATGCATTAATAAATTTTTGTTATTAAGTTTATGCCCAATTACCAAGCTCTTAACCCACAAGGCTTAGTGCCAACTTTGGTCGTAAATGATCACGTGCTTAGCCAATCGATAGCTATCTTAGAATATTTGGAGGAAGCGTATCAAGACGCGCCAAGGATATTGCCAAAAGATTTGTACCAACGCGGAAAAGTATTCAAATTGGATATTTTTTATTGCTATTTGTCAGTATTAAGGCTAACCAAAATTCGAATCGATTTACCATCCAAATTTTTTTAAAAATAGTAGTCTGCTGCATTTAGACCGGATTTAAGAATCAAATGGAGCTAGTTACTTTATATACCAACGGATAGGAAAACCTGAGCAATTTGGCTGACAACGGTTTCTAGACTCGATCATGTAGCCAGCCACATTCAGAATGATTTAACGGTCTGAACCGGTCCGGTTGAGCTTCCTATCATTTTTCTACCTACACCGATATACCGATTTTTTTGAATGTGATTTCTAGTACTATTCGTTTTTAGGGCTCATCTTATTTGTTTTACAGGCTGTGTCCAAAACATTGTAAAATTTATTTCGAAAACTTTTATAACTTTATCGAAAAGGAATAAGCCAATGACCAAAACGTTTTTGTGAAATTTTGTAAAATTTGATCGATAGGTTTCCTTAGAATTTTGAAATTTGGACGTAACTTTTAAGAAAGAAAGAAAGAAAGAAAATATATACTTCTTTTATATAATTAGCAAATTTAACTTCTAATATTATGCAATTTGATTAACCTCGATAATATAATGTTAAATAAAGGAATGACAATTATAATATTCAAATAGCTTTGAATATGACCTTTTCATTTATATGAGATATTGAAATATAACAACTATCAAAGCAAAATGGTAAGTCATTTTTTAACTCTCAAAGGCATAAATTAAAATAAATTTACCTATATTTTATAATGAACTTTAATTTTAATGAATATTTTATAAGAAAAAATAACCATATAATTCGTAAAAATTTAACAGAATAGGTTTTTTGTGCAAATGGGAACTTAAATCGACAATCTAAGGATGAATTTTATATTAACCACCAAACACATGTTAGATATAAATCAAGCAAATTATATGACGATAGAAAATGATTTTAATATGTCTATTATCGGTTTGGAGGACTATTTCGCGACAATGGCAATTGAAGCGTTATTTTAGTCACCTATTGTCATACATTTATATAATTTTTAATACCTAACATTTATTCTGAGAGTGATATCATCAAGCTTATTATAAATTCAATGAAGCTACGAGCACTCATATGCCTTTCTTGATTGCGATTGTAATATATCGACTTCTAATAAATACCCAGGCATGCCATTCATACTGGATCTCTGGTTTTCCCCTTCTCTAACAAATATTTTTAAAAATTATTCAGATCTTTATTTAAAAAAAAATATTTAAATTTTTTTAAAATTTAATACCGTGATCGTCATATTTTTTCGGTATTCAACTATGATAAACAAAATATTTTTCCTATTAACCTACAAAAATATTTATTCATATATAAAATTAAATCGAATATATTTTTTTAAATAACATTTTTTTTTTATTATTAATTAATTGAATCTAAAGATTAAATAATAATTTTGCGGAAAGATTTTCGGGCTGGGCTCGACAACTTGCGATGCACGCGCGGGGTATTTTAAACGATTCGCGATTTAACAGCTGATCGATTTTTAAAATCTGTTTTACGAGACCAATCTTTATTTAATTAATATTATTTTTTTTTATCTTTAATTCAAATCACTATAATAATAATCCTAGAAAAATTGATTTCATAAAACAGATTTTAAAATACTGTCAGCTGTTAAGTCTCGATCGCAATCGCGCCGCTATTAATTAAAGGTTACGCGGTAAATGTACGCAATTATTTTAAGGGAAAAAAAATTTAAGAGTTGGGCCGAAAAATCTTTTTAAAAATTTTCACTAGGCCATGCCAATTTCTAATTCCTTAACTCATATAAAACGAAGGTTCGTTCCTTAGTGCAATTTATATGCAGCGATATTCAACCTATTCAAAATATGAGAGTGTTGAAGTACGTGGGTAACACCCACCCGGACTGGGCTAAGCACTGGGTCGAAACTGGATTTAACGGTAAAGATCGAGCCTAAAATTTTCCTTATATTCTAATCACCAACAAATCTATTATTTTAAGCCCTGGAAAAAGAACTCGTCAAGTGTTCGGGCAAATTTTGTGTCGGAGACGACATCTCCATGGCCGACATAGTATTGGTGCCGCAGGTTTACAACGCGAAACGGTATGCGTTGATTAATTTTTTTGACTTCCCCTCATTTATTTCTTCTTTACGATGTAGGTTCAATATCGACATGCACAAATACCCCAAGATTTCGGAATTGGATGATAAATTGACTGATCTTCCGGCCTTTCAAGCTGCTCACCCATCTAAGCAGCCCGATTGTCCCAAAGATAACTAACCCGAAGAACCAATAAAATCAAATAACCCTATATACTTGATTTAACAATTAATATTTTATTGATTATATTATTACTTTTGTTATCAGTTTTTTTTTATAATAGTAAAGTAATATTTCTAAATAACGTAAACTCTGTTTGTTCTCGACAGAAATATTATATATTGATAGTTTTTGCCATTAGCCAAAATTGATAAAAATGAAAATCATGTCTTAAATATTCTAAACACTTATACCGAATTTTAAAACCCAAATTATTTATCGTTATTATAGTCTATAGACCAATATAAAAGAACTATTTATCAAAATGGATCACATATTTATTTAGAATTCTAAATAGCAAACCTTGTAGACGACTCACTTCTATATATCAAAATTATAAAGTTCTTTATGCTTTTCTGGATAGAATGCTCTTCTTGTTCAGAATTAGTAACAAAAATTAAGGCGAAATTATAAATAAGTTGGATGATATTTTACCTAGCCATAGTAATTTTCAACTGTTTAAATCCTGGTGGTAAAATCTAGGATCTCCAAGAATAAAGTTGAACACTTGATCCTTATTGCGTATATATTGGAGTTGGGAGGTGTTTTTAAAAAAAAATGTAACCGACAATGGGGCAGCTGTAAAATAATGAAGTCTTTGCTTTTGCGAAATAAATAAGCCCGCGTGATCCATGAACATTTGAGAAAATTTTTATATTCGAGCTATGATTGGCTGGCTACGATCCGAAACTTCAAGAAAAAGGTTGAGAAGATTTAGAAAGCCATTTTATTTAGACTATTAGAAAAGATGCAAGTAGAAGAGAGAACATAATGACAGCCGAAGATCTTAATATCTACTATATATAAATTCCTACGACGAATGAATAAAAATTTAAGATTTTTAACCCGACCCCCTCAGATTTTTTTATAATTTTTACAAGAGTTTGTATATATTATAACTAAGAAATAAACCAAATTTAGGCCCTAACTCCAAACAGCGGTTGAGATATGGGCCTCAAAGTGTCGAAAAAATGCACTACATTTAATTTTAAATATCTTTGGATATGATTGAGCTAAAAGCGTCATTTAAATTTCTTTGTATAGCCTATGGCAGCCCTTTAAAGTTATATTTCGTCAAGAAAATTTGTGTCAAACACCGTAAATGGTCATTAAATCAAATTGTTTTTTTTTTCTATTAAATTTTTTCTATGTATAGATATAGGATTAATGAATAAATAAGAAAATTTTCAAACAGAACTGGACTCAAGTTTAAAGAGATATGGCATTTTAATCATTAGTCTATTGCAAATATTTTTAATTAAATTATTAATCAATTCTAATATAAGTCAAAAGCTATCAAATACTTTATGTTTGATATGATCTAAAAAAAATATTCTTTTAAGGGGACCTTAGTTAATTTATTTGATGAATTGAATTGTCCCTCATAAAAATAATTGAAAATATAAATCAATTTTTGATTATACTTTAATTGAAGACTAAAAAATAAATTAAGAGTAATTCACTCTTGAATGAGCGGTTAAAGGGATGTTACGATTATGGAATATTTTTTATACATATATTTTCCTAATGTAAATATTTCCGACATTTGAAGTTAGCAAATTTTATATTACATATTATTTTTATTGCTAAACAACATAGTTTTAAACTTAAAACATATGATAAAAGATAGTGCAAATAAATTTAACATTCCCTACATTAGTTGAGGTAATTATATTTTGGTCAAAAGAGGATAACATATAACTAGTGTTGTTAACCGGCTCGATTCTTAAAAACGGCTAACCCAATATTTTAGCCAAAAATCTTCCGCAAGACTAGAGATTTTGCTCATAGATAGCAGAAAGATTTGGACATCTAATTAACGAAATCTCGAGGCTTGCATAACATTTTCTAGCTAAAATCCCCTTCCTCTAGAAAGTCTATTGTGGCAGATTTTATGGTCAAGAGTTAAGATTTTGATAAACCTATTTTGGTCTTTAGATTTGGTCCCTTTCGAGTTTTTATACATTATTAGAGCGAAAGACCCTTGGGCCAACACAAACTTGAAAAGGACCAAATAAAGTCCCAGTGACAAGACTGATGCAGCCATTTTAAAAATCGCCGTTTAACAACACTAATCTTAACTTTTAACATTGTAAGCGTTTTAAACGTGGTCATTTCCCTCGAGAATCTAACACAACAGGTGCCAAGCCTATTTATACTTATTTATATACAGAATATCTGAAGCTAACAGTGGACTAAAATCGAAAAAACAACGTTATTTTTTCGATAAAAAATTTATTTAAAAAAAAGGAAGAATATAGAATATAAATAATCCGAGTATATATATAATAATATATTTTTTTTAAAAAAAAAAAAAATTTGATAAAAAATAAATTATAATATATTTATATATAAAAAAAACGAAAATATATCCAAAAATAAACATTAATTTTTTTAAAAATACAAAAAATGTTTATAAATGCGTTTTTTTTAAATAAAAATCTAAAAATGGGGGTTTTATTTTCGGAAGTAGAAGGGGGAAGGGTATATATATTTGGGATATTATACATGTTTAAATAAGGGAGTGATGGTTTATATTGCCTTTTTTTTCTAACGAATATTTTTGTACGCGATAAATAAAATAAATTATCATTAATAAGGTGGTGCATATCGGTTAAAACAAGTGTTAAGATGGTGGCTTTAAAAAAAAATTATTGGTCCAAATTCCCGGGTAGTGTTGTTGAACGGCTCAATTTGAGCCGATTTTTAAAAAACGGCGAACTCGAATATTTTATCCAGATAAATAATGTGCTGGCCTGAAGATTTTGCTCATAGATGCCATATAGGATTGAACATCTATTGGCGAAATATCGATGCTTAGGGCTATAATGTTGAATTAGCCGTTTTATAAAAATCGGCTGACAAACAGCCGTTTAACAACACTAGTTCTAGGGGTGGTAGTCCAAAATGCCCCAACTCCTATCAAATTATAATGTTAATAAATTGATTATTCCAAGTTGCCCCAACTCCTATCAAATGTTAATAAATTGATTATTCCAAGTTGCCCCAATTCCTATGCAATTATAATGTTAATAAAATGATGGTTTTTTTTAAAAAAAAATGACTGGAAAAATATTGTTTCATATAAATTTATTTGGTACCGCAATTTTTTTTAAAAAATATTTGGTTATTTTTACCATTCAAAAAAGGGAGAAAAAAAAATCACAAAAATTTGAAGAAATATACAATTGAGACTCTTATCATTGTAAATGCTTTTTGAGAGAGAAAAGAATTTGTTTTGGACTTGAAGAACATTTTAAAAATTAAATTTATAATTTAATATTTTTTTATAAAATAAAAAACTATTTTATAATTTAAAAAAAAAATTTGTAGAAATCTTTCTTTTTACAAAATTCGCGTTTTTATAAAGTTTCCTCCGCCGCTTAACGAACCACTACTTTTCAACGTTTCTTCAGTTCGAGTTGTAATGCTAATTAAGAAAAAAGAAGTGATTTTAATCAAAAAATTAAGATTTTTATATTAAAAAAAGGATTTTAATCAAAATTATTACTTTTTTTACGGTTCGAGAAAATTATAACCGTTCGCTCATGTGTTTAAGTTATAACGGTTCAGGATATTTTAAAAAATAACCATTAAATATCGTTTTGTTTAGTGATTAAAATCCAAAAAGTGTTAAATTTTTACCATTTAGAATTTCGGTTTTGAAACATTGCAACTCTTTCCTCATTTCGGTTATAATTTCGAATTTCATGGTCTCTAAAACGCTGTTATTTAACGAAGAATTAAGGAATCCATTCAAGTTTTCATGTCCATTTCTTCGCGATAATTATTTTTTTTAAAAAAAATAGACAAATCAAAATTTAACCCTAAATAAAAAGGGATAAAAATTTTGGATATAATTATGGCTTCTTTTTAGGAACTAAAAATAGTTTTGTAAATTTACACCCGTTTCTATATTTTCCTCTTGGATTATATTTATAACGTAAAATATGTGTTTTCGAGCGTATGTACCTGAGGTCTGCATTAGGCGGGTTTTTTGTTTTATAAATTTACACCCGTTTCTATATTTTCCTCTTGGATGTAAAATATGTGTTTTCGAGCGTATGTACTAGAGGTCTAAATTAGGCGGGTTTTTTGCCCGCTCACTCATACTTTCAAATGGTCGGGCCTTTTAGCTAAATACGCCCATTGCAGACTTCTAGTATGTATGGGATATAAGAGTTAGCAGTAAAATAGAATAATAAACAAAAATGAGTGACATTTTCAAATTACCTTTTAAGGATGGGTGGAGAAGTTTTACTCGTATAGTTATCTCCTCCGTTAAAATAAACGCCAGAATTATTCGAATCGATCATGAGCGGTTGATTAGTTAATGTGTTTGAGCTTTGCGTCCCTCCTATCAACCAAAAATATAAAAAATTTATTTTATTTATATAAAAGAAATTATAGGACGTTCTTCATAAATATAGGAGAGAATAAAGACTTCCGGTCTTCGCCATTAATCATTGCATTGTAAATAAAAATAATAGTGTAAATGGCATCATTATTTACCTCCTATCAACCAAAAATATAAAAATTTATTTTATTTATATAAAAGAAATTATAGATCCTATGTTCTTTCATAAATATAGGATATAAAGGAATAAAGACTTCCGGTCTTCGCCATTAATCCTTGCATTGTAAATAAAAATAATAATAGTGTAAATGGCATCATTATTTACCTTCGACAACATTTCCGTTATCGAACATCGTCGAGAGTTGGCTCTCAGTTCGTTTCACCTTGTTCGCGTCGCCGTTATTAATATTATTGGTGTTGGCATTGAGGGCGTATACGCCACCGTTCGATAAATTATTGTTATTGTACATTTCGGCAGAATGAACGGAAGAAAAGGAAGAGGAAGACGCGGATGAAAGGAGAGAGGTAACGGAATTGACGGTACCTGTAATGGTTCTGGATCTGAGGCGTAAAAATAATATCGGAGCTTAAACACAAGTTTTTTTTCAAGTAATGATTGGCTTCTGATGCCAATACTTTACCCAAACAAGTTTCAAAAATAAGACCAGGACACGGTCTAATCATCAAAATATATATATAATTCAAATGAATAATTTCATTTTTCTTTTGAAGGGGCGCTTGGTTGGGTGGGGGTACTTTGGACCAATTGTTTTTAATGACGTTGCAAATCTAATGAAGCATTCACTTTCTACGTGTTCCTATCCTATACCTTGCTGCAGGAACCTCTGATTTAAAAAGGGAGTCTTTTAAATATTAAAAATGTTTTTTATTTAAAATACCTTTGAGGTGGAAGAATCGATTTTTTGGATTCGTTGATGGAAATTTTGGGACTAACCTCAGGGTTGAGGGTGGTTAGATTTTGGCCATTTTTGACGAAATTACCGTTGCCCGTGTTTTGCGGGCCATTGCCATTTTCAATTTTATGGTTGTTATTGTTAAAGCATTGCGGGGAGTTCTTAAAACTGACCTCCGTACTTTTTAAATGTGTCGCGGAGTTGAACGAGCACGCTTCGCTATCCTTAAGATTATTATTGTAAATATTTCCGGAGCCAATATCAGTATCTGGATTAAAGCTTGGACCCTGGCAGTTCCTTCTAGAAATGCTTAGGCTAGGTGAAGATTCCATCTCTTGTAGCGATTTTTGCGAGCCCTGAGTTTGGGCTTGAGATTTTATTGGCGTTTCGGGGGAAGAATCGTTGGCTCCAAGCAATCTTTGTTTTCGCCGAGCTAGCGTGGCTATCATTTCCTGCATCATACGAGAATTTCCGCTGTTGTTAATGCTGCCAGGGTTCGACGGAATTATCGGATGTTTTATAGATGAAGCGGGGACCTGGGAAATGGTCTGAAAATTGTCACACATTATAGATATTGATTCGGTATTTAGGACATTATATATAGAAAAAATTTTAAAAATCAAAAAATAAAAAATCACCTTCAATTTAACGTTCGATATAGCCGCGGCCAGCTTATCGGTCACTTTCGGCAACGGAGGAGGGCGAGGAACCATCATCCCGTATATGTTTATATTATTTTTATCTACGTTATTGACCGAGTTATTCGAAATATAAATATTTTCTTGCCTAGGCGCGTTATTATTATTATTACTATTACTATTGACGTTTATATTGTTGGGGTCATTCTGACAAGATGGGTTGTACGGGACAACTTGTTGGTATATGAGTGGCTGAGGAGCCGTGGAATAATGGCCGTTAGCTATGTTGCCCGTCATTTGAGATCCTTGATTTTAGCGTTTTTTTTTGTTTTCAAAATGTTTGAATGAGAAGATTTTAAAATAAAATGTTCGAATCGAGAAATTAAAAGATGTGATATTAAAAACGGATTTAGATACAGCTGTTTTACATTTGTACATTTAGTTAGTAAACCTAATTGATGATATATGGGTTCGTTATTGTTGGGTAAGGCGTTGGAGACAGCGGTTGCCGCTACGGAGTTTCTATCCATTTCCGCCCATCCGTTTTCTGCTCTCTGAGGGGCATTACTATAAAAGTAAAATTAATAAACACAAAATAATGTTTTTGGCTATTTAGAATTTCGTTGTCCTAATAAATGTCTATTCTGCTGAGTGACATTAAATCGGGTTTTACAATATAATAAATGATTTTCTTATTCCATCCAATATGTAAATTTTGATCGAATCGGTTTTGTCAAAATCGCAAAAAAAACGACAATGTGTCCGTAAACTATAAAACAAATATTTTTTAAAATAAAACAATGCTATATAAATTTTTTTATTGAAATTGTAAGGTTTTTAATGTTTTCTTTCATTTAAACGCTATGATTTTCATATTCTTGCAATGTTTCTTTATATGCTTACTCTGTTTTTTAAACTGTTTGCTGTTTTTTTTTAAAATTCTCGTTGCTATATTCCATAATAATTCAAAATTGTGTTAATTAATATTTGCTAAGTTATATTCCCCCAACAATCCCAGAGCCAAGATATATTCAACCGTGTAGATCGAGTGATTCTTTGTTCCCCCAAAAATATAAAAAAGGAATAAAAATTTTATAATTATAATTTTAAATATAGTTTTAATATTTTTTTAGGCCAATAGGGGGGTTGGAGACAAGACGCATGAGCACAAAAATAAAAATTAGTATTAGCAGTTTATCAAAAGAAAATTTATTTATTTCAGTTGTTGAATTGTCGTTGTTGGTGATAAGGATATTATACATATTTTTTTACAAAGAGGATTGAGCAGGACCTGCCCCAATAACTGTTCATAGTTATTAATTAAATCAAAAATCGCATTGCTAAATTTTTATTTTTTTTATTTAGTTTCCTAAAAAAATTATTGATAAATTGATTATTTACCCATTTTTTTAAATATACATTTACATGATAACGCGCTATTTATTTCACGATAATGACGTTGTAACTTAAATTAATATTTTTTTATACTACGATATTACTTGTAACTCGTTCCGTAGTAGCTCTGCGCATTGTGATTGCGATTGGCGATTCCGGGGTGGTATTCGGAGAGCCGGGTATCGGACCCGGAATACCCGTTGCAATTCCCATTCGAGTAATGAATCTGATTATTCTGATTGGCGGAATTGTGCGAGTTGCCGTTGGAAGGGTTCCCTCCGACCGACTGATTCCTGTGATGGTGACCGGCGGTAACCCCCGTCGAGGCGATATTATTGTGAGACGGCGCGTGGTTATAACCGTTCGCACTGCCGTTTACGTTGGTTTTAACCGGGGATCGATCTTTTTTAACGGCAATACAAATATATGCGATTTAGAATTTTGATAAATTAACACTAAACTACATCAGAATTTCTAGGGAAATGCTATAAACCTAAAGAGTTAAGGGTAGACACTGCCGAAATAAGGGCGTCGGAAAAATTGTCGGCCTCTTGAGCGCTGGCGAAATTCAGCCCGTAAACTTGCTTCTGATCTCTCCATTGGTGGAAAGTCGGGGTGGCCTTGTTGTATTTCATATTTTTGAGAACGCAGCAATTGATGACGACCTAAATATTTTTTATTATTATTAAAAAAAAATTTAATTAAATTTTCCTGAATATCTCGGGGAGTATTCCTTGCCGATCCGCGACTAAAATGAATACGACATTATTAAAGTTAAAAAAAAACTTGGTAGAAAGATCCAGATTAGGATAATTCAACTTGATTGGATCAAACAAATGGCCAATCCTTTTAAATTCTTTTTTTTTTGTTCTTTTGTATATTTTCAACGAAATTGATATCGGAATTATGGTTTAAAAACTTAAATTTAACTAACATTTCTAAAAAATCCTTGATTATTTTTGGAAATAGATGTTCTATAGCGACAGACTTCTTAAATCTATTTCCGTTTTGAATTGTCCTTTAGAAGGATGCTGTATACAAACTAGCTGCTAGGTAATAAAAAAAAATTATATCTTGGAGTAGTTTGGATTTATGGATTGATTGCTTCGGGCATCATTCCGATACAGCGGCGTTTAAATTTCTCGGGAGTAACTAGGGAAATCCCTAGTTGTTAAGTTTCTATTAGACGGGCAGATCCAGCTTGAGATCAGCACTGACGGAAAAGACTGATTACGGGTCGGGTAATAAGAGGTGACCGACCCGAATCCCGACCAGATAAATATATATATAAATATCCCAAAAAAAAGTAGAATAACAAGTCATTTTTCAATTATTATTTTACATAGCATCCGTTTTAACCAAACTATTTTGTTATTATATTTTCGTATTATTATTACATTACAATATTTACATCATATTCTACCAGGTTGATTAAAATAAATATATTTATCTAATATCTATTTTTAATTAAATAGCCTCAAATTTTTAGATATTTTAAAATCGTTTAACTAAATCTAAAAATTTGGTGGAAGAATTATCAAAACGACCCTCCCAATTTAATTGTTTTGGCTCTTAAATTCCTGGCTATCCCTGCTTCCTCGGCTAGCAGTGAAAGAGCGCTTTCAGAGGTTGGTAGGGCCTTCGAAGATAGGAGACCGCTTCGAAACCTGACAAACTCGACTCCTCATTATTTATATATCACAATTATTCACCATGCGACACTATTGATAATGATACGATATCGATATTCTCGTTATTATTTATATAATCGCGATAATTTTTAAATTCGATCGTATTTTAAACTTTTTCTAATAGTTAAAACGGAATAAAAGGTGTGCACGTTTTCCAATTTAAATAAAATGCAACTTAATATTAAATATTGAGGCCAAATAAAAAAATTTTATTTAAGGTAATTTCACGTAATATTTAATTTCTTATTTTTTCGGATATGATAATATTCGCACTCATTTAAAAAAATTTGGTCGAGTTTTTTTTATAATTCTGGCTCAGGTCGGGAGACCTCTAAGCCAAGCAAAGACGGGCCCATACATATCGGTTTTTACTGAGTTATCCGGCCCGGCCCGAAACTCTTCGACCTGACCCGAGCTTTAGTCGTCAGTATCATTTTGTATTTCCGGCGTCTGCTTAATGAGGGAGGGGGGGGGGATCTGAAGGGATTTTTATTTTCTCTCTTCTCTTTTTTAAACAATTTTGTTTATTAAGTTTACAAAAAAAAAATATGAAATTTTCAACAATTATAAACAAAAATTTATTCCATAATATTTTTTTTTATTGCTAAAAAATAGCGAAGAATTCGGTAAATCATTAAAAAAAAAATTGAAACATTTTGTGAATCCGTTTGGCAAAAAAATTCCTAAAAAAAAGAGGAGAGAGAAGCTAAGAATTACAAATCAATAAATTGTCGCGTTGCGATCTATATTTATCATTTCTTTTGTGAAGTAGGGGACAAAAAAAATAATCTGTCGAAATTGGCATAGTCAATAACGCGAAGAAATGAGTTGTAAGCAATTAATTATAGGAATGGAGAAGGTGTAGATAAAAAATGGAAAAGATTCAATCCAAAAAATATTTACATCCTCCTCTTTGTTAAATATAAAAATGATGTAAAAATTATGTCAAACTTAAAACGAGGTTCAAAAAAAAAACATTCTAATCAATTAGTTTGGAAAAATATGGCGAATATTAGAGATTGGCAATTGGCATAGCCAAGTTGATATTTCTAGTAAACGCGATCTTTAGTAAAAAAAATCGTCGTATTTTTTGTATAAAAGCTGTGCCTATGATGGCCAGATATCTGAACTACTGAAGAAATCTGGATTTAGACGCGGCAAAAGATAGTTCCAACCCCAGCCAGAAGAGTTTGTTCATAAACCTTCCTATTGGACGATTTTAGGGCGCTAAAGTTAAAAGGGAAGATATGGGGTGGGGTTGATAATAAAAAATTTGGTCGTTGTGGGTAAGTTGCTATCTATGGTGACGGTTCAATTATTCATTTTTTAAAAAAAAAATGCGTTTAAATATGTGAATCAAATTTTTACCGGGGATAGCAAGGAAAAATAATACCCAAAAATTATGTTTAATAAAATAAGACCCATGATGAGCCTATTTAAATGAAAATCGCTCTTCCGACCAACATCTATTTCATCGTTTTATTGCCATTTTCAGAAAAGTTCCTAAAAAAAATTGAGTAAAATAAGGCTAAAATAGGTCTTGACCTGCTCGGCTCGACCTAACATTTCAGCCAATTTTGTTAATAAATGTCCAAACCTTTGTTCCATCTACCAGCAAAACCTCCAGACTTGCCTAATATTTTCTTGTCCAAAAAAGAAATACAAATAACCTTCATTTAATAAAGATAAAAAAAACCATCTTATTTGTTTTTAATCCAAAATATGAACTTTTGTTTTTAAAAATATTTCAAAAATTATATTTCGCATCTTTGTATCACGCAATAATAAGTTGTTAAAAGGCGGCCGGCCACTATTGAACTAAACGATTTTTAAATTTTTTCTTCACCTCATTCTAAATTCATGTTAAAAAAGATATTTTTGTTGCTTATAATAATCATATCTTTTTTACAAAAAAAATAACGAATAAATAAGGCATGCCTTACGTGTTACGCATTCATAGCAGGCGAAGCTTATATCGTTACGTAATTTCTGGTAATGATTCATATAAAAACAATGGCAGGTATTACGGATTTGAAATTACTCATTTTAAAAAAAAAATTAATCAAGAATTACATTTTTTATTTAAAAAAAATAAAATTCGAAACTTATAGCGATAAATGTAGGGACCTCTAACACTAGGGGAGAGGGGATCCCAGTAGGAGGAGATACCCTTCTAGCCATACATGAATCATGAATCAGTGTCATTCACTCGAGGAGAATCTAGGGGGTATTGGGTGAATGTAGAAAAACGTAAGGGTGAAAAGAATGTACAAAACAATATTGTATTTTATAAGTATAAAATGATGCCCTATAAAAGATTTAAACTTTACAAATATCATCAAGTGACAAAAGTGCAACCAAATTCAGGACCAAGGAAGACCACTTGGGTGTTGGCAAAAGAATGGTGTGAGCAATGCCACGACCAAATCTAATGTTAGAACCACGGGTAAATGATAAAAAGCTAGGCGACGCGATAATCCGAGAAATATATTTCCGCGTTGAAACGAATAAATCGAGATCGACAACACTAATTCCACTAATTGGCACTATCCCACTCCCATATCCAATGCTCAGCAGCAGTGGAATTGCAAATATGCCAAAAAACAAAACATTATCGAATTTTTTTTTTGAAAAATTAACATAATTGTGCCTTTAATTTTTGACTTATCAAATTTCAAAAAATTTTTTGTTTTTAGATCCCATTAATTTAATTATTATTTTATAAGGCGAGTAATATATAAGTATTTTAGTAATGATATGATATGATATCCATCATAAATCATGTAATTCATAAAAGCTATTATTTATTTTGAAGCTAATAATTTCCAGATGTAAATTAGTTTGTAAAGGGATTTTTTCGAGTCATAAATTATTGATCAAATTTTTGGTTATAATGAAAAAGGGGATACTACAATATTCTTCACGTTTTTAATATATAACATATGAATGACAAAAATGTTTTCGCGTGAATAAGCCATTAGGAGAAGATTGGATGGAAGGGGAATAAAATCCATTATAATAAAGGTCATTTTTTTAAGCGAAGGTCAGCCGAGCCGAGACAGTTATGACTAGTAGGCGTGGTTTAACGCGATTTGATCGATTTTAAATTAAGATATGAACCAAAATAATATTATGCAAACCTCGAGAATTTGTTAATAGATATTCAAATCTTAGTTTACGAATATCTGTTGCCTGCCGCTGATAGGTTTTTAATCTATGAGTAACTCTAGCGGAGGATAATGCATTCTATTACAAAGAATTTGAAATGTATTCATCCTATTTAAATTATCAATGTCAAACACGTAATTTATAGGGAGAAGATCCTTTTTTTTTGCCAACATGCGACCCACTTTTATAGGAGGAAAGATGACAATGAAAATTTCATTCACATTTAATCCTATTACATATCAATTTATTAACTAAAACTTATTTTATTTTTTTTTTAAAAAATGCATACAGATTTATTTTAATCTGTTACTTACTTATTACTTCGCTTTTTAAATCCAATCCTCTTTAACTTTCATCAATTCCTTCTCCATCCCTGGGGGATGGATCCATTCCATTCATGTATATATTCATTAAAAATTAAATTAGATTTAAGTGTCACACACACGTAAATTCAACTAGACTTGTATCGAATCTTATTTTTTGTATTTTAAAATATCGGTTATCGGGTTGTAATGTAATAGCTAAATTGACCAATTCGATAAAACAGATTTTAAAAAATGAACTACGATACAAATATAAATATTAATTTGGACCCGTCATATTTAGGCAAAGAGGTGTCTGGTTAAGTGTAGATGTTAGGTATATATATACAACTGAAGAATTTTCATGGAGCCGAGAATGAGAATTAGCCCTTTAAAAATGTCCTAGCTATTGCTGGACAATTATATTATTTTTCGGTAAAAAGAGCTTATTCTAACTATCCGCTAATCAACATTCGCGTCGTTTACGGTATGACAGTCAAAAAAAAATTGGAGTTTATCGCAGGCGTAAATAGAAGGATTTATATACCACACTCTAGCCATCAACAACTACGGGGAAGAGGTATTGGCGATTTTCGCTGACTGAGGCAGCGAGCCCTTCAAAGTTAAACATCTAATCTTTACCAAATTTAGCCCGGTCCGCGATAACATGTTAACTAAACCGCCGTTAACTATGTCCCGGTCTCAATTTAACTTTCCCAAAACCCGCGTTATCCGCTGAGGTTCAACTCAAAATGGCGCGCAAAATGACATGTGATATTGAGAGATTTACTTCGTGATCGTTGATCTTTCTTCCCACGACCCGGAAGGAGTTGTGAATCGAATGATGGTACACTTGAACCTTGGAGATACCCGGACACGTTCCGCAATGGGTCCATTTTTTAACGCCGTCGTCGTACAACATTACGCTGGCCTTCACGGCCACGATCGATTGTTCACTGTTATATAAAGGAAATAAAACGGCATACATTCATCTACAAATATTCTCGATACAAAAAAATTTGGTCATAAAAATAGGTTTGACTTCTCGATACACAAAAGTGCAGTCTGTAAATAGTAGCATGAAGATATTCCGGAAGTTAAAGATACTAATCATATAGCACAAAAATATTTTGTAACCTTAAACAAATTTAGCGTTACAGTGTAGGGACCCTGGCCAATATCAGGTGACCATATCTAATACACTGGTCAATATTAGGCCCTGCCTTATATTGTAACCAAATTTCGATGATTTTTCTATAAAATGTAACGGGCCAGGTTTTTGCCCGTCTTTAAATAAAAGAGATAAAGGGAATAAATTAGAAGTCACGCATATATTTCGTTCTATTTTTCTAAAGTCAAGGGGGGTATTCATTCCCTTACATCATGCTTCGTGATGTGTGGGTAAGGGAGCTTACGTGAACTGGGGTTAGGTGGTCTACATGATATAACTATTATTATAAACAATGATGAGAGTAGCAAGATCTCTTAAAATTTACTATTCTTTATTCGATTTCGAAAAAAATTTCAAAATTTTTCCCATTTGCCTAGCCTAGTTATGAGATGTGTATAAGAAATAAGGAAAAAATATATTATTTGTATTAGATCAAAAGATCTTCGCTCATTGTGAATCAGATACTTTTTAATGTTATTAACATCGTTAATCAAATAATCAATTATAATTATTATATAATACATTACATTACACTGTGAATGTGATAGATATAAAAAAAATTTTAAAAAAAAAACATCAAATAACTTGCCAATCGCGATAAATTACTGTATGGATAATATCATTTTACGATTTTATAACTTTTATTTATTATCGTCATAATCATAATTTTATGCCTTTTAAAATTTTCTCTAAGGCACAAAAATAAAAGGGAAAAAACATTATCTCGAACCGAACCCCTTACCCTCCCCTAACTTACCGGTTCGAATTTTTATTTTTCCGAATCCGACCCGACCCGGCCCGAACCCGAATTTTTTTTAAAAAAATTTTGCCGGCCTGGCCCTAATTTATTTATATATAGAAATAATTTTATAATTACTCAAAATAAACGATACATGTTATATGGCTACTATCTATAAATAAAATCACACATTTTTATTTTGCATAAAAAAATTCGACATAAAAATTGATAAATTAGATATATTTTTAAAAATTTCTAAGGCCCTACTTTTGCGGATCTCTAATCAAAAACCCGGTAGTTTCATTTCTCCCGTAATTTAGGGCAAATGAGAACCTAATTTAAATTCGTAGCGGGGCTGGATGACATAGAAATAGATTAAAATAATGAGTGGGATTGGGGGGGGTCAATATTTCAATTATAAAAATGTTGCATAATAAATAATAAAGCGTTTATTTCGCGATATTTTTAAAAAAATAAAATAATAATCTTCTTAATCTTTAATGATTAATCATTTTCTACATACTGTAATAATAATAAAATATATTATTATTTTTTTTAATGATAATCATATTTTATTTTTTCCCCCTTTTCCCATGTTGAGATTAAGATTGGTCTATTATAAAATCATTTTTTCTTTTAACGAGTTCAGAAATTAAAAGGATTATTGATTTAAAAAAAAAATATCTATGTATATAAATATATCTATCATTACAAAATAAAAATACTCGAGTGTTTCGTATTCGACCGTTGTTACTAGTGTTGTTAAACGGCTCAATTCGAACCGGTTTTTATAAAACGGCTCGATTCGAACGGGTTTTTATAAAACGGCTAACTCGACATTGTAGCCAGAAAAATGTTGCCTGAGCGTCGAGATTTCGCCAATGGATGTTCAATCCTTAGTGCCATCCACGAGCAAAATCTTTAGAATTTTCTGGATCTCGAATTGAGCCTTGTAACAACTCTAGTAACATTAGACGCAATGGGAACAGAAGGGAGGGATAAAGGGTTGCTCCAAAAATCAAACTTGAGTACCCGAAATTAAATAAAATTGGCCTAAGAAAGTCCTGATTGGTCAGAGCCGATAACGCTCTTGATTGGAAGCCGTAGATGTATGGTCTGTTCCCCACATTATAGTTTTAGACCAATAAAACGGATGGCATATTAAAAAAAAATCAGGCCGGGCCGTGCTAATAGTATCTCTGCGGCTTCTCTGATAAATTTCATTACTGGCTAAGCAAAGGAATCAAAGATTCCACCATCCATAAATTCCGAATCCAATAATGATCGACAAAATGTTGACAATTCGTCAAAATATATCAGAGTTGTTAAAGGATCTAGATACTTGTATCTAGATCCTGTATCTAGATATAAAAATGTGGTATCTTATCTGTATCTAGATAGATTTTTGATTAAAGTATCTGTATCTAGATATTATTTGAGACGATGTATCTGTATCTAGATCCATTTAAAAAGTATCTTTTAACAACTCTGAATTATATATAACAAAAAAAAAAACTTTAATTACATTACAAACAACGTATATTTTGAATTTTAAAAAATACATACATGTTGGAAATAATGACCTCGAGCCGAACATAATTTTGAAAAATGACGTAATAAATCTCTTCTTTTATCAATTCCAAAAACCAATAAATTTTTATAAATTTTAAATATAATAATGTAAATCCAATCCAATATTAATCACTTTTTTTTTATATAAATCTCTGTTTCTTGGAAACGGAATGGACTATAATGACCCCGTTCTCCCTTTTCCCTGTATAACATCGCATTAACGCATAAATTAAATTAACATTATATATATCTACGAATAAATTTAATTTAATTTTACATTAAACATAACAGCTCAAAAAAAAATAAATTTATAATGCGATTTTTAAATATTTTTCTTAAAAAAATTGATAAATATTTAACTTATGGCCGGCCATTCAAGTTGCGTTTTTAAAAATTAAAATTTTTTTTAAAAAATAAATGCTTTTTTCATAATAAAAACGTTTTTAAAAATTATGAAATAAGAATTTTAAAAAAAACATTTTTATTGTTCGTTTTGTGAGAGGGTTTAAAAAAAACTAAACAAAAGGTTAGGGGAGAAAAAACTTATAATTTTAATGGTTGCCTACTGGTAAAAATTAACGAAAACCAGAAAACTGCTGTTCGGCCCAAAACTTGGGCTCTGATTGGTCTAATTTAAGAAATACCGACCCGGTCAGCAGTACTGGAGAAGCAGGAAGCTGGAACTAGAAGCCTGCATCGAGCGGGTTTTTTTTATAATTTTAATGGTTGCCTACTGGTAAAAATTAACGAAAACCAGAAAACTGCTGTTCGGCCCAAAACTTGGGCTCTGATTGGTCTAATTTAAGAAATACCGACCCGGACAGCAGTACTGGAGAAGCAGGAAGCTGGAACTAGAAGCCTGCATCGAGCGGGTTTTTTTTATAATTTTAATGGTTGCCTACTGGTAAAAATTAACGAAAACCAGAAAACTGCTGTTCGGCCCAAAACTTGGGCTCTGATTGGTCTAATTTAAGAAATACCGACCCGGACAGCAGTACTGGAGAAGCAGGAAGCTGGAACTAGAAGCCTGCATCGAGCGTGTTTTTAGCCCAGTGTCCATATTTTGAATGGGCACGGTCGAGTTTTGGTCTGGTGACGGACGCGTTAAAAAAAATTTTATAGCTGGCGTTAGCGGGTAAATTTTTTTTAAATAAGTTTTATTTTATAATATTGCGTATTATATGTTTAAATAGCCAAACCAGCCATAAAAACAACGAGTGGAAGGGCTTTTTGGCTAAAAGGCCGCTCATAGCAGACCTGTAGCTGGATCCACAATTTTGCGTGGTCTTAGGTTAAATCTTTGTGTAAGAAGGGAGAGAGGAGATGGTAATTGATAAGATTCTACATTTAGACTCCTATCAAGTCAAGATCTCTGGGGTCAAGAATCAAGCAGAATTTTAACTTGCCCTTATTATCTATTTCTACACTTATTTCCTATAATATACCTTACGAATATATTTATATTTTAATCCTTTTTTTCTCAAAGTATTAAATGTCCACATGTGTAATATCATTTCGTAATGCACTACTATTTTTATAATACAGGAAAGAGAATGTATATAGCACATTTATATAACGTAATATTATTTTAAATTAAAATCGCAATTTTCAAACTAAAAAATCATCTTCCTTCATTAAATAACCATGTATGACTTGCCGTAATTATCGTAAGAATTATACATACTGAGATAACAATTTTAAAAAATAATAATTATTACAGCAAGTTAAACTAATTTTTTAAGCAAGTTGTCACAAATATTATTATATACTGTAAGAAGAAATGAAGGGGAAAAAAAAGCTTTTAGGTATTTCCTGTTTTTAAATCCAGTATTTAAAAAAAAAATACTTCCCTTTTCTTTATTATAACAAAACAAACAAAAGGGGGAAATAATATAAGCTTTTGTTTCAAATTTTTCATTTACAAAAAGTGTTTTTAAAATTATGCCGAAATAAGTGCATATTTGAAAAAATAACTTGAATCATTTCGTATCTTTCAATTCAACTGCAATAAAAAAAAAAGGATTTTAAAAGACGCAAAATGTGTGTGTGTGTGTGTGTATGAAATGTAATGTAATATGATGATGAATCAATTTTTAGGTTTTTAAAACAAGATTAAAAAAAAAATTTTTTTTAAATATATATATTAATGTTTTCTATGATGAAACATGAAAAGGACAACATTAAAAAAAAAATCAATAAAATATATAATTATTTTTTTTTAAGTATATTTTTCAATTGAGTTTTTGTATCGAAATGAAAATATTCAAATTGAAGTGTTTCGAGATAATATTATAATATTGTATGAATGGGGCGAAAAATATATTAACATCGGGAAAGAAAATTCTTGTTAACCAAAGAAATTTTGATTGTCGGGTTGAGAAAATTTAAAATAGTTTTTTTTTTGGAATATAGAGTTTCCTTTCCAATAATGGTCCCAAAAAATAGCCTTTTCACTTAATCATATTCTAAGCAAT